TCTTCGAACATCCAGTTTACTAGGCATTGGTAAGTGGCATAGCTATTTTTTAGTCCGAACTACATTACATTATAGCAATAAGTGCCGAATTTAGTGATGAAGGAAGTTTTTTCTTGATCGCCTGGGTCTATCCGGATTTGGTTGTACCCGAAATAGGCATCGAGAAAATTGAGTATCTCGTGGCCGGCCGTCGCGTCGATCATGAGATCGATGTTAGGCAAAGGAAAAGAGTCTTTAGGGCATGTTTTTTTCAAGTCTTTATAAACTACGCACATTCTTAATTTATTTTCCTTTTTAGGCACTACACTACGTTAGCTAACCAATCCGGGTATTTAACTTCCCGAATGGAACCTATTTTAAGGAGTTTGGATACCTCGTCTTTAATGAATGCATGCTTGATTTCGGACTGAGGCCTCCTCTTCTATTTAACCGGGTGGAACTTTGGATCCAAGCTTAGCTTATGAGTAGTTATTTTTGGCGGGATCCCTATCATATCAAGATGGGACCAAGCGAAAAAATCTATGCTAGCTATAAGGAATTCAATGAGTTTTTTCTTGAGCTCGGTAGTTAACCCCGTGCCCAGGTATACCTTCCGATCGGGCAAGTATTCGAGCAATATGTCTTTCTCCCGCTCCTCGACCATTGACTTGGTGGCATCAGAATTATCAGGGGCGATGAATGACCTGGGAACTCTGTAATCATCATCCTCCCCCGCTTTTTGCTTCTCCGGTTCGGTCGGGGCCGGTGTCAGTGATTGCTATTTAGTTTCTTTCTTCCTAACTGACTCTGGATTCTTTGATGTCGAGAGGGCGGACATCGGGATCACCTTATCGATCGTGAACATTTCTTTTGTGGCAGGCTGTTCTCCGTAAACTATTTTGAGCCCTCCCGGTGTGGGGAACTTCAATGCCTGGTGCAGTGTCGAGGGTACTGCCCTCATGTTGTGAATCCATGGCCTTCCGAATAGAGCGTTATACCTCATATACCCCTCAATGACGTAGAACTTCATTTCCTGAATGGTTTCGGTGGTGTTCACTGGCAGGGTTATCTCCCCTTTAGTAGTTTCACATCCCATGTTGAATCCGTTTAAGACCCGGACCACGGGCACTATTTGGTCTTGTAGACCGAGCTGCTCTACGACCCTCGATCTGATGATATTAGCCGAGCTACCTGGATCAATCAACACACGCTTAACTCGAGATTTATTTATGAGTACAGAAATTACCAGGGAATCATTATGTGGTTGCACGATGCCTTCAGCATCTTCATCGTTGAAAGAGATGGTCTCCTCCGGCATGTAATCTCGGGTTCGCATTTCCCTTGTAATGGACACCTTAGTGCGCTTCAGTATTGGCCCCTGGGGATGTCGACTCCATCGATGATCATGCTGATGACTTGCTGAGGTTCCTCCTGCTCGGTCCGCTTGTTGGAGTCCCTATTCCTGAAGTTATTTTTGGCTCGATCACTCAGAAACTCCCGGAGGTGTCCGTTATTGAATAACCGGGCCGCTTCTTCCCTTAGTTATTGGCAGTCTTCGGTACTGTGGCCGTGGGTGCCATGATACTTACATATTAGGTTGGGGTCTCTTTGGAAAGGATTGGAACGCAATGGCCGAGGCCACTTGGTATCTTTGATGTGTCCGATGGCTGATACGATGCCGGCAGCATCGACGCTGAAATTGTACTCCGATAGCCTTGGTGCCTCCCTGGCCCCAATTGGCCTGTCGATAACCGTTTTTGCTTATGATTCCCCAGTTATTATGCCCTCGATCGCTTTTTTTTTTCATTCCTCGCCAGGTTACGTTCGAATCCACTGCCTCTTCGATCTCTGCTATACGGTTGGTACCGATCTCTGTTCGATCTTGGTTCATGATCGACGACTCTTTTAGACCTGTCATTAGTTCTGATGGGATACACAGACCCAGAGGGGGCCCCGAGCTAATCATCATCCACTCTGATTTTTGATTGGTACCTGTTATATATGTTAGCCCAAGTTACTGCCGGGTACTCTATCAAATTCCGTTTCAGCTGGTGTGAAGCTAAAGAGCTTTAGGGGTTGCGTCCTTGAGTGAATGCTTGAACAACCTAATCGTCCGCAACCGGGGGCAGATCCATCCTTTCTATTTGAAACCTGGACACAAACTCCTTGATCATTTCATTATCTCTTTGCTTGACTTTAAAGAGGTCGGATTGTCTGGTCTCGACTTTGCTGGCCCCGACATGAACTTTTATGAAGGCATCCGTAAGCATAGCAAACGAATCAATAGAATAGGGGCAGGTTGTGATACCGTATCATTGCTCCTTTAGACAGGGTTTCCCCGAACATTTTTAGTAAAACTGACTCGATTTTGTCATGTTACAAGTCATTTCCCTTGATGGCACACGTGTAGGAGATCACGTGTTCATTCGGATCCGTGGTCCCATTATACATTGGAATTTCATGAATACGAAACTTTTTTGGGATCGGTTTCGGAGCTGCGCTCGGAGGGAAAGGTTTTTGGACGAATTTCTTGGAATCCAAGCTTTTCAATATCGGGGGTGCTTTTGGGATTTGATCAACCCTAAAGTTATAGGTCTCCACTTTTTTGTCGTTGGCTTCGATTTTCTTTTCTCCCGATTCCACCCGTTTTTTGAGTTCCTCAAGCATCTTTATTATCTCGGGGTTGGTCCCGGATTCAACTTCACCCGGCCTTACTGTGGCCGGTTCATTCCTATAGTGTTTTCCCGGGATGGATCGGGGTCAACTCTGCCGGGGGCACGACTTTGGTTCTACAACTGAGCTATTGCTACCTGTTGAGCCTGTAACATTTCGAAGATCACCCGCAAATTAATCCCATCACCTTCGTCGTCTTCTGTACTCCGGGCCATCTATCGGGCTCCCCCGCGAATGTTGTTTTCGAGGTCGGTAGGCAAGTTTGCGTCGATAGCTACATGTGAGTTAGCATCGATCAGGTTTGCGACTGGAACTCCGTTGGGGTCAATAGGGGGCACCTTGTTGCCGGGCACTACATTGTTGTTCTCGCCATGGTGATCAGACTCAGCATCAACGTTTAAATGAGTAGATTGAGAGTTCGACATTTTTAATTTAACCTGAAATTAAAATCTCAAAGAACAAGTGTAAAATAGAGTGCGTAATGAAAATTTGTATCAAATTACCACTATTATCCCTAGCCCCACAGTGGGCGCCAAACTATTTACCCTAAAAATGGATAACAATTGAACTTATATGTGGTTTTAAGGATATGTGAATTAATTTAATACGAGTAATTAATGACGTTAGATTAAGTAAATAAAAAATATAACAGATGACCAAACCAATGATAATGGTGATTCCGAGCTCGGATGATGGCTCGATGAAGAACCTGCCCTCGATTCCAAGCTTATACTTATGAAGAACTTAAAAACAAGAATAATAACTTTGAACAACAAAGAGAATTGAAATAAATTGCCTTGATATGCGTGTTATAATGTGTCCTCTGAATAATAATCTCTCCCCTTTATATAGTAGGAGAGTTTTACTCTAAGTACAATTCTAAGAAAGATAAAAATTTTCTGTTTCGCTAATCATGATTTTCTGCCGATACGGGCCAAGATTCACGCCATGATATTCGGTTGACCACGGACATCACAACCCTCTGTTAGTCTTGTGTAGCTGTTTGATAATGCCCTCCAAAGTCTTAATCCTCGAACCAGACCCGGAGGACATGGCCCTGATACCCCCGAGGGCAGATGTTTTGTCCGAAACCCGATACGAGGGCTTCTCGCTCTGACTCTGATTCATTACGGTCACGTCCCTGCTCCGTTTGTCTTACCGGAAAATCGAGGTGTTCAACGGGCTTGATTTTATCGTATACAAGATTGTATATATTTTCAAAGCTCGATAACAAATTACAACCATCCCGGCCAGACATAAGTATTTCTCTATAACTGTCATCTCTGCGATTTTTGAAAAATTCCTTTAATGGAGTATTTATCTAATCAAAGATGGATTAAGAACGTCACTGTTTCATATGTAGAAGTTTCAGTTATTTTAATGAAGTTTTATCAAACTAGCTTTCTTCTTGTACTATATCGTGTTGTATCAAATAGATGAGTCTATCAAATAAGTTATTTCTGCTGCAAGAAAGTCAAGTTGATTTATCAGCCTGCTACGTCATGCTCTAATGCCGGGACAAATACAAAAACAATAATAATAATATATCCAGTGTATTTTTGCAGGAGAGGGTGAGGGATATTTAGGGAGAGCAGTGTGTAAAGACTTTACTTCTACTTGTGAAGGTAAAGAGACTGTTTCCGATAGATCCTCGGTTCCTAGGACAAAATAAGTTACAATTTTAAAAACATGAGCATGTAGCATGCCATTTGAGTCTGTTCCCTATTATTGTTGGGACAACAAAAAAATGTGATATGTGGGGAATTAATTGTTAGATTTGATGAAATAATTCACAATACTATTAATAAATAGAACATATTTTTCGGGTAGAGCTGACCGAATGACATTCTCCTCGTTTTTCCTCTTGTAAGTGGTTCACGATTTCACATACTAATTATGCTAAGATTATAATAAAAGAATTACTTATGAGTTGATTAATAATGGTCGGGTGTGATATTGTGATTAATAAAGAAGGAATTACTATGCGATGATTAATAATGACTTAATTATCATGCATGAATTAATTACTCTACATTAGTTTTGCAAAGATTTTCTTCCTCATGTACATGGTCGAATATAGAGTTCCATCACCGGGTTCATCTGAACCTGGTAGTTCAAACGCGACATATTAATTTATGAGTAAAACTACACTAAAGTTACAATAATTTTAAAAATATAATGTGTTCAATTCTAAGAACCTTAAACGTTGAACCCATAAACTTTGAATCCTGGATCGCCTCTCTGCTCATATAGCCAATCAAACTCCGCATTAGTTATACGGCAAAAAAATTTGATGCCGTGCTAACATAAATGAACATAGTCTATCTGCAAATTGGAAAAAACAAAAATACTATACAACAAGAACCACAATAACAAGGCCATATTGATGATGAATATGTATTAGTTTCAGCTAGGACAGGGTCCAAACTGCCATTATATAAAGCATATAAATGCATAAAATGCAGCAATTGGAATCATAGTATAAGCATTATAGAACAAAGTTTTCCCCAAGTAAGAATGTCTTAATAATCTTATCTCCCATTCCATCTGCATACGGAAACAAGTGACCACCACCTTTAAGTTCATGGTATTGAATCCATGGTAGTCGTTCTGCAATATATCGTTGCAGAATGACAGGTACAAGCCCGTCCTCATCGCCTTGCCATAGATGAACGGAACATTCACCATTAGGGAACGGATTTTTAAGATTCATCGGATCAAATTCCCATGTTCCAAAGCCAACCATTGCATCGCGGTGAAGTGATTCAAATTCCCCTTGTTGTCTAATTTGTGCCTGAGATCATACACAAACAAATAGGTATAATAGGCAATCTAATGCGAGAAACACTTTATAGCAGAGCATATAATGCATCAAGGTGCAAAGCACGACAAATATATAAACTAAAGGCAGCAGCAAAATACCAAGTTAACAACAACAACATACCCAGTATATTTCCATACTGAGCAGGGTAACGTATATGCAGACCTTACCCCTACCTTGTGGAGGTAGAGAGGCACAACAAAATACCAAGTTCTTACCCGATATTGTTCTTGAGAGGCAGCAAACTTGGGTCCGAGTTGTCTATCTTGAGTGAAAAGGATATCAGGGCTGTGAGCTGCAACACTAGAAGAAGGGAAATATTTCTGAGTGTTCCACCAGTAAGTTAACCATGGAAGATAGTGAGCAACCCGAAGAGTCCATTGATCCGGGAGAAGCTGATCGTAGTATGATTTTCTAGATAAATTTGCAGGGAAACTAGGCCACCAGTAGTTAACCACAGGTGTTAGAAGAGCCGCTCCTGCCAATCTGTTATAGATAGCCGAAAAGACAAGAAATTCAATCATAAGCTATATTCAAGACATAATTTAATAAACAAAAGCATGCTCTCAGACAGATGGTTATATACTTCAACATGGTATCAGGGTAGGCAGAAGTCCCGGGTTCCGGTCTCTTTAAGAGCAGTTTAAACAGCAGCAAATGGTAGTAAAAAGTATTGAACAATACCTATGAGGAATATATTTGAGGCAGCCCCAAACTACTTGACCACCCATGGAAAATCCAACAACATAAAATTTGGATCCCAATTTCAATTGATCAGCTAACTCCTCAACATCAAGAGCTAAACTCTTAGGTGTTCGTTGTGGATGAGGATCACTTTCGCCATAACCAGGTCTATCAAATGACACAATATATATTCCCAAACTCTCAATAACATCCTGCACCAGAATATATTATTGCAACCATTATTATATCGAATTTTTTGGAAAATTCCTAGGGTAACCCGCAATTGCTACCTGTCGGGTGCGCATCGGGTAACTTGCTTATTGTGCAATAACTTGCAAACCACTAAACTGCACTAGGTAAGCCCGATGCAACGAGCTCTGACTGAGGAGACTGATGGTGTGGGGAATCGATCCCATGTCTCCCATGTGGGAAACCACTCATCCAACCAACTCAGCCAGCCCTTGCGGGTATTATTGTATCGATTTAAAACCATAAAATTGCAAGAAAAAGAAGAAAGGTAAAACTACATACAGGAGAAAGGGTGCTGGCAAGAACAACATCATGTTTGCAGCAATCAAAGCCATGGATAAACACTATTTTGTATTTTCCTTGGTTTTTAGGAACACCTTGCTCTTTATAAGCCAAATGCCTTCCGTCGGAAAGTCTTACTCTTGGTGCAGTAATTGGAGGACCATTTTGCGAACCACAAATTTTCGGAGGAGGTGGCCGAATTGCTTGATATGCCAATGCTAAGAACCCAATGAAGAGAACTGCAAGTACTTTCCCAGTTATACCTGAAATGTTCACATATGGTCACAATCTGCAGAAATTTATCAGAAAGAGAAATTGTGCATTTACAACAAACTTGAGAGGTAGAAGATAGTTGATTGCTCAAGAACTCTATAAAGTATTCCAACAAACAGAGCTTAACAACCTTCCTCTTACTAAACTTTAATTGTACAATGGTAGTGTTTGGGCAGTTTGCGCGCACCTTGATACCTGCTACCTCCCACATACCAGCATAGATACCGGATAACTCATCCCAAGACTTAGGCGGATGGGAAAATAATGGCCTAACATGTATTTTCTATGGTTTTCACCTACTCCATTGATCGCTAGACTCGTGCAAATTGAGGGATGCAACACAAGGCCTTCCTCTTACTAATTTAAACAAGTCCAACTAATAAGAGAAGCTAAAATTGAGCATTATGTTCACTTTGGTAGACTGACAAAAGCATCTGCATATACAACAACAACAACAAAAAATCCAGTGATTTTATACATGTGGGGTCTGGGGAGGTTATTTCCGATAGACCCTTGGCCATAGAAATGATGAAAAAGAGTAATAACAACAAGTAGAAACAACAACAACATAAGAATAAGATCGAAACAGAAGAAAGCAGAAACTCTAGGTAGTAATAACAATTTATGAATAAAATAACACATGCTCAAATTCTTTAACTTTGTAGCACCTTGGGACAGCCCCAGAACCTATCTCATCAAAAAAACAAAACTAAAAACAAAAAAAAACAACATTTCACATAATCAAAGACAAAGTCGTTCAGTTTCTTTAATTGCTTAGACTAATCAAGTGAAGACACAAAGTTCTCTACATATATCTACAACAGCTAAGGGAAGAAGAAAAAAACAGAGAGAAAAGGAACCTGAGGTAGCATGGGACTCTGCCATCTTTGTGAAACAATAGTTGTGATTCTTGTTGATGTCTTTTTTATACTATTATTATCCTAATTTCCCAAGATTTGGCTTCAGTCTGCTTTTATAATAAAAAAATTATAAAAGATCTAGAAACTAACAAGTACAACGAGAGGTTGTTTGTTACCTTACCCCATGTGCACTGTGTCGTTGGTCACCTAGGGAATGAGGGTCTCCCCCTTGTTTGGCAGATTATCCCAACGTACACTCAAACTAGGCAATTACTGCATCTGTAATGTTATTCTGTAGCGCTGACTTTGGAATATATTTGTGTGACTATAATTTTTTTTTTTAATTCTCTGGAAAATTCATAGCCGCTATCCTTTGGGTCCGTACTGGGCAATCTGTTCACTGTACAATAGTTCGCAAACTATGCAGGAGATGTAAACGGCACTAGGCAAACCTAGTACAACGAACTCTGACTGAGGAAGCTGCTGGTGAGGGGAAGTGGTCCCAGGTCTCCCATGTGAGAAACCACTCATACAATCCTTGCCGGTGCTATAAATTATTTTATTAAAGATAAAATTAGAAGTTTAAAATTAAAATATTTTTAAATAAAAAAGTATGATATGCTATTCGAGACAAATTAAAAACAAAATATGATACATAAATTGGAAATGAGAGACAAAGAGAGTACTTGTTAGCCACTTGGCCTCAGAAAAGTCTAGACTAGTCAACTTATTAAATTCTATGGTACAGATTGAGTTAATGAATATATAAATGAAATCTAGGTGTCTATAAATGAAATGTAGATGTCTACTAATATGCATCAATCCAGAATTAATGTAGATTATATGAATCTATTGTATTTATTTTCACTCATTTGTAATATCGAATTATTTTTAAAACAAATTTCCTACTTAACCTTATAGAAACATACAAATTGCTAAACACAATAAAAGGACTCCTAGTATTCGTCGTGCTTAATGTACAACAATTATTGTAGTTTTAATGTTGAGTATGTGAAGAAAGTCATGCATTGGATATTGATTAAAAAAAATATTATATATAAAGTGTAATGATATTCTTAACAATATTAGATTTTTTCAATAAATCGTACGGCCAGCCCCGCGGGCTGTCGAATGTTGGAACGAGACCTCCGTGCCGATTGGATACTTGACGCACCTGTCATAGGGGCATCATGTGTCGACTTGTAAGCATGACTTTGGTTCAACCATGCAAGCAACATAAAACGGACAATATTATATCATATTACTCCGAGTATCTATTGACCAGCTTAGCCACACAAACTATTATCAGATCCAATAGTGCGGCTAAACAAGTATGAAAATAACGGAGTGATGACACAAGGGTCAAAGGACAATAGTACATAGTTTGACTAGTTACCACCAAACAACGTAAAGTATGTGTTTGGAGATGGCTAAACTCATGTGAGGAAGCACTTCGATCTGTTTTACAGACTCAAATTAATTGGATCAGTAAAAACTACTTCGTGCATTTCATGTTATTTGTCATACTTTTTTGGTCTATTTTAACAAAAATATCACCTTATTATATTTAGTAAGTTTTTAATTATAACATTAGTATTTCTTGCACATCTCAAATAGTCAGATTTGGACACGAAATAAAAATAGAAAGATTAAAATTGACCGGAGACCGAAAGTAGTACCATAGTCGTTCCACGAGACTTTCACCAGTGATGACTACTTTTGTTAGTATTTTTCTAGAGAGAAGAGAAATGTTAGGTACAGTGGCGGAACCAAAAAATTTCATCAAAAATAGTCAAAAATTTAAAAAGTAAATATTCGGAGAAGTTAAGGGGATTCAATCTCTACAATTTATATATATATAAAAAATAAATTTAACCTTATATATATAATCTAATTTACCGGCAAAGAAGGTTCGAATGAACCCCTTTTGTCACCCTAGCTCCGAAGACTCCATGGTTTGACTAGCATACAAGAATTCCTAGCCATTCTCTTGTAACCCCATGGCACTCAGCCGTTGGTTATTTAAATGTATCATTTTAAGTACGAATTCAATTAAACTCATAATTTTTGACCATTGATATTTTCTGGAGAGACTCTCCTCCCCGTATCCACGGGCATAGGCACCTCGATTGAAGAGGTGTCACGTGACACCACTTCGTCAAAATTTTTCGTAATCTGTATTGTATAAATAATAAACAAAATTAAAATATTTGGTACATACAAATATAAGAAATGATACCACTTATCGTTACAATAATTTATTTATTTATACAATTCTTTAAATATTAACATTATTTATGAAAATTTCTGCGTCAATCAGCTAGGAAATTCACTGACCATTGACTTCTTCTGGAATGTGGAACACTCTCAATCAATTAGACAATTACTCACCCAGTGACGTCTTCTCGAAGCGCTGACAATGAATACGTGACAATCCGGTGTACTAAATTCTCGCTGTGCGTACTTTGTGTTTTTATAAGAAGCTGTTTCTATGATTCGAACCTGTGACAGCAACTTTATCAGTTACGTCAAGACTCTCATTCTTCGTGTATGACTAAACACAAAATTTAAGAAAATTAGAAGGAAAGACTTTAGGTTTATGCTAGAGTAATATTACTACTCTTCCTGTCCTAAATTACGTGTCATTTTCTTAATTTTTTGTGGCTTGTTTTAGATTACACATATCCAAAAAAAAAAAAATTCTTAAACTTCCTGTCTAATCAAATATCAATTCATATATTGAGATGGAGAAATATAGATTTCATACACGGACTTTGAATTAGTCTTCCTATATTAGTGTAGAACTTATATTATCAACGAATTTAAGTGTTTGATTTTAAAATAAAGAGCGTGTATTGATCGCTAATAAGTCATTTCATAAGGGTATGCAGGTATTTACTCTTTCTTTGGTCTTGTGGTTTGCTTTCTTTATCCTTTCTCGACATCTTCTAACAGTTATTTTTAATTATTTTATTTAATCTGTAACTTAAAAAGCAGAATATAGAAAGTAAAATCGAAGACTCTTGTAATGTACATAGTAAAACAGGACCGGCATTAGCACAGACTCTTGTAATATATTACTTATTTGTTTTTGTAAACTTTTTCGCTTTTCGAGATTCAAGTTGTATAAACTTTAATTAATATTTTGAAATGCATTTTTTAATTGTATTGACATAAAAAGAATTATAACATATAGTTATTTTTCTTATAGTTTTGAATGTCCAAATTTTAATTTCAAAATAATCTAATCTAATTAGCTTTAAAGATTAATTAAATTGATAAACGGAAGTGAAAATATGGGCATAAAGTAATAATAAAAGTATAAATAAAGCATGTCCAATCCGATTCAATTTAAGTAGGAGTATTCAATATGCCTAGATAAAAGTACCTAGGGATATGTAACACATGTTGGAAATTATTTCTTCCGGTTCACAAGGAAATACGAACTTTTAGAGAAAAAAATATATTTACTAAATTAATTTTAATTAATTATTACATTGACACATTAAAATATATAAATAAGGGTAAATTTTAAAAAAATAAAACTAATTCTATCTTAATTATGTAAGTAGATATTTATTTTGGACCAAAATAAAAATATAAAATAATGTGAATGGATAGTCAATTCTTAAAACAGTGGACATGGGAAAAGGAAAGGTTGGCAATCTTGCCAAACCCTAAATTAATGTGTCCTGCTATTTTAGTTGACCAATAGGTATGCTATAGGCAAAATAAATAACAATAACAATCTATCCGATATATTTTTACAAATGGGTATGGAAAAATAATATATTCACAAACTTTACTCCAATCTTGTAGAAGCTTAATAGAACCTTCGGCAAAAGGCCAAATAAACCCCTCTATTTTCGAAAATGGTCTAAGAATATCACTCGTTATACTATTGGGTTATTTATACATCTACAGTCATACTTTGGGTTCAAATATACCCCTTATTTAAATGGAGGGACACATGTCATCGTCCTGTTAGTCAATTCTAAATATCTCCTAATTAATTTTAAAAAATTCATTACCTATACCTGAAAAATAATTCTTTTTTGTAAAAACTGAAAAAAACTAAATTTTTTTTACTAAAAACTGAAAAAAACGAAAATATTTTTTTCCGAGTTTTTACCAAAATACTGCTTTAAAAAAATTAAAAAATAATTTCTAAAACAATATTTTTGTAAAAACTGGAAAAAAAAGAAGAAAATATTTGTTTTTTCAGTTTTTACAAAAACATTACTTTAGAAAATTGCTTTTTAGTTTTTTTTGTTTCAGTTTTTACAAAAATATTGTTTTAGAAAATATTTTTCAGTTTTTTTTAAAGCAGCTTTTTTGTAAAAACTGGAAAAAAGTATTTTTGTTTTTTTCAGTTTTTAGTAAAAATAAATTCAGTGTTTTCCAGTTTTTACTAAAAATATTGCTTTAGAAAATTGATTTTCAGCTTTTGCTTTTAGTTTTTACAAAAATATTATTTTAGAAAATATTTTTTAATTTTTTCTGAAGCAGTTTTTTTGTAAAAACTGAAAAAAAAAAATATTTTCGTTTTTTCCGTTTTTAGTAAAAATAATTTCAGTTTTTTTTTTTCAGTTTTTACAAAAAAAAAATTGCTTGAAAAAATTGCTTTTCGGGTATGGGTGATAGGTCTTTTTAATTAATTAGAAGATATTTAGAATTGACCAACAGAATGATGACAGGTGTCCCTCCGTTTAAATGAGGGGTATATTTGAACCCAAAGTATGACTGCACGGGTATAGATAACCCAATAATATAATGAGGGATATTCTTAGAATATTTTCGAAAGTAGAGAGGTATATTTGGCCATTTGCCGTAGAACTTTTGATATGCTATATTAGAAGGTGGAGTAAATAATCCGCTATAACTGCTAAAAGATATTAATAATGTTAGAAAAATGTTACATAGCGGAGTACCATTTTTTCCTTTTTAGTGAGTTTCGAAAAAATAACACCTTTATATATAATCTTAAGTAAGAATTTAACTTTAAAATTTTTATTTTATACTTAATGACATAATTTGTAGTACCGCAAATATTTATGGCTCATGTTAGAGCACAAATTTCAAAGTCTTTCTTTTTTAATT